TCGCCCTGATGACAGAGGCAGTATGACCTCAGAAATGTTGGTTAACATCGACCAGACTACACAGCGCAACAACCCAGAAGACAGAAATCTTCACTGCAAATTCTATCTTCAAGATGAATGTCTTTGGGGAGATTTGGCAGAACTAGGTGGTGAATGGTAGGGACCATGGTGAATGTAAAGATGACAATCTTCTGGGATGTTGTGCCATGTATTCTGGTAGAAACTGATTAACTTTATAGGCATGACTACTGCCTGCATTATAAAAGCTATCAGTAAGCCATAGAAAATATGGATACAGGTCTGGGATGCAAGGAAGGGAAGATGTAGCCCTCATCAGGGCTGAACTGGGACTTTCAGGGAACATCACAGAAAGCACAGTTCATATTTTAAAATCCATGATCATGTTGTCTAAGCACCTGGACTTTGCAGAGATATTGCTGGTGTTCTGAAGTCGAATTTAATAGCCCATGCTTAAATTATGCTTGGCCCTGGTCGGTTTGTCTGCATGTTCCAGATGTATGTGTCATTGATGTTCCTTGACCCTAGATGGGTTGAAAGCCTATCAGATCTGCTGGTTTCTATAGCTTTTCTGCCCAAAAGTGGCTCATCCATTTTCAATAACCTCATACAGATTACCCTGTCTCCATTTCATCACCCACCAGTGCCCTTCCAACATTTCCAATCTGTTACAAGTTTACTGACATTTCAGAGGTGCTTGCTGCCTCTGTCGTCATGGCGATGATTATGCCTCGCATGAAGAAATGGTTTGTGATATAGAAACCAGCCTTGAACAGACCAGTGAGGAAGGTGAGCACTGGGCGAGGGCAGATGATAGAGTAGGAGGAAGGAGATATATCACAGCCTGGCTAGGTATGTTTGTGGAAGGGGAGGATATGTATAAAGAGAGAGATAAAAGAAATAACCCTTATCAGGGCCCATTGGGGAACAGAAGAAATATCACCAGACATAAGGATATGAGGGTAGATGGAAGGAGGATAAGGAAATGAAGTATAAAGGGGAGAAAAATAGAGATGTGGACTAAATAATCAAACTTACCATTCCCCCCCCCAATTTGGCCTGGTTGTGGTAAGCCCTGCCTCCTGTTGGCTGTTGGGGTCCCTTGACCTTGCTGAAAACCTGAAAGAGAAGGGCTATATACATATATATTATATACATCTCGCAAAGAATGCATAATAATGCAAACAGTATGGGTTATGTTCTGCCAGCTCCAATTGATACTGCCAAGATCTGGATGTCCACAATCTACTCACGAGGCTTACCACCAATCTTATCACCTTGGCTCTGTTCCACAGCATCAATACACTCCTGGGCTCTCTAGCTAACAGTTATCACCCCCAAGAACATCAGTCATAAAAGATGATACGTAGTGTTGGGGATGATGATAAATGGGGACACATCAGAATTTGTAAACTGTCCTTGTTACTTGTATGTCTGAATATAAATCATAAAATACAATCAAAGTCTGAAGGTTTCTGATGATTGTGCATTATAATATGTAAAATTATTATTTTGCACTTTGTCCGCAATTAAAATTAGAAAATAAAAAAACTAAGCATTTCACAAGCTGCATACTTCTGTCTTCTGGTATGAAAGGGGAAGAGGACAGAAATCCTATCTGTTGGCCCCCTACTTGAGCTTGCCTCAGACCTGGTCCAAGCTAGCAGATGGGACTTCTATCCTCTTCTCCTTCTTTACAGGAAGATCGAAGCAGAATTCAGCTTTCAAAACGTAGTTTTATTCATGGAAGGAAGATCACAATGCCATGTTACATGATGTGATGCACCATTCTTAAGTGTGTGGTGGGCCAACAAAGGAAACCAGTACCATGGCCTAAAAGACACAATAGACCTTTAAAAGTTAATCGCTGAAACACGTTTGTCCCATATGCAAGTTGGCATATTGTTGACGAAGTGTAATAAAAGACAACTTGTTAAGTTCTGTCAATTGTACATGGAAAGAGTAATTATAAGACTGTGAATGTGATGGAAGCCTGGAGGGAAGGGTTCATATTTTACAGGCATTACCTATAATCCGTTTTATTGGGTACAAAGAAAAAAGGTTCATCTATTATGCATTTGTGTATGCAGTTGACCAGTAATAAATCAAAATTTAATTCATGAGTCCATCAGTCTTGTGTACATCGTGCTCAGGCATTTGTGGAGAAACCTTTGAGCATCTGTTATAAAGAAACATCCCACTCCTTATACTTGGCAATGAATGCATATATTGAAACTTATGTTTGGTTATTATTTCAAAAATGAAACATTTGCAACCACATGTTAATAGGAACATTTTTTCCTTATTTTTGATCCTGGAACACGCACACAAACTTTGTAAACACACTTTTGACTCATTCTGTATAATTAGACTGATCAAGTCAATGAGGATCAGAAGGGCAGGGCAGACAGCCCACATGAGGAATTAATACAGGATTTTGTTGGGCCAACCAGAAGGAAAGGGACCACTAGGAAGACGTACATGTAGGTGGGAATATAATATTAATTAATCTAAGAGAAATAGGATGGGGTGTTACGGACTGGATTTATCTAGCTCAGGGCAGAGACCAGTGGCAGGCTCTTGTGAACACAATAATGAAACTTCAGGCTCCATAAAAGTTTGGGAATTTCTTGAGTGGTCTGAGCAACTACTGTTGGTTTCTCAGGAAGGATTTGGCTTCACAGAATAAGTAAGTAAGGAGTAGACCAAATATCTTCGATTATGCAAATATGCCTTTCTGACATGATCGCTCAATATGAGCTAAAAGAAAAAGCTAGTGAACATTGAAGTGTCTGGGGATCATACAAACAAGATGGTATACAGCATCAGAGAAAGAAACAAGTCTTACAATAACAATCTACTTTAATAAAATATGCATATATTTCATACATATTAATGGATACATTGAAAGAACAAACATGGAAATAAATACAGGATGAGTTAAAAGTATGTTTACAAAAATAAGAAAAAATGTTCCTATGAACATGGGGTCGCAAATGTTTCATTTTCAAAATAATAATAAGTTTCAATGAACGACTTTGTCAAAGCGAATCCAGCTTCCAGCAAAGATTTTCAATTAACGTTTGGGCAGGAATTGTTGGCGACATGCTTATTGGTCCACACATGCTTCCTTCATGTCTAAGATGACCTTCATATAGGCGATACTTAAGAAGACACTTGCCACTTCTCCTGAATACAGGAACACAAATGTGGTTTATGTACAACGGAGCCCCAGCACACTTCTCCTGTCGCGTCAGAGATCATCTCAATGAACAGTACCCTCAGCGATGGATTGGGCGTGGTGGGGAAGTAGCATGGCCACCGAGGTCACCGGACCTGACTCCATTTGACTTTTATCTGTGAGGTCACTTGAAGTCTGTCATTTATGCAGCACCCATAAATGATGGGAACGTGTGCAGAATGCATGCCAGATGATTCGAGGAAACCCTGGCATGTACGAACAAATTCGTCAGTCTTGTGTACGTCGTGCTTAGGCATGTGTGGAGAATGGATGACCAACCTTTAAGCATCTGTTATAAAGATACATCCCTGTCCTTATACTTGGCAATAAAGGCATACATTAAAAATTATTTTTGGCTATTATTTCGAAAAAGAAGCATTTGTGACCCCATGTTCATAGAATTTTTTTTTCTTATTTTTGATCCAGGAACATAACCACAAAGTTTGTAAACATACTTTTGACTCACCTGTATATACAATTGTGGCATAATACGATGCAGTCGTAATGACAGCAATGGTGCATCGTTATAGGGTGAATATTTCTATTCTATATACAAGACGGTTTTGTGCATCAATACACTTCTTCCAGCAGTCTTCTTGAAAAATGGCAGAATTATGTTTTGTGGGAGATGTGTTAAAGTAACTTAAATATGGTTTAATGGCTCTGCATAATGACACATTCTTTGACCCATCCTGCGGCTTCATTGTGACCTTGTAGGAGTAATTAGGTGCCCCCCTCTTTAGTGCCACCTGCAGAATACTAACATACAAATTGTTGTTTATGATTTTGGATAATAAAAAGAAAATTTCACCCATTCTGAATATTGGTGTGTACCATTCCCCTGTAGTTTTGATTTCTTCACACAGAAATTGTCCATTATTACTCCCAGTTGCATTTGATTGGTTGCTTGGTCCCATGTGCTTATTCTCCATGTGCTGTCTGATATCAGTCATGCTGCCCTCCCAGGTGCAGCTCGCCTTACCGACAAATGAAAATGGGCATTTAGATGGCTGATGTTGACACTGGTCTTCGTGCTCCTCAATATGCTGTAGGTAAAATGCCCTGGGACATCCTCGGTTGTAATATTTACACGGGTACTTCATTTTCTTGGTCATGTTCTCAAGAAGAAAACACCTCTTATATGAGAACATGCCTCTGCAGACTGGGCAATTCAGGAGCTTCTGCCTGCAGGTCTTGCATACGCTGTGGCCATTTTCACACATGGGAATGGGTGGCCTAATATACTCTAGACAGATTGGACACATTAGTTCCTTCAGGAGATCCTTCAAGCATGGGTCCATATCTGCAGGTTGGTGTCCTGATTTTGAATAACGAAAGAAAGTCAATTTAGATGCATATAATACAGTGGCAATACTTCAATGTGACTTGAACCATACTTTTATAAACAGAGGCTTTAATTTTAACAGTATTATTACCTAATATAAAATGTATATCACACTAAATAATAAGCTTGTTTTAAATTTTGCAAAGAATTATTGTACTTAACTTGCATATTCTCAAAGACCTATTACCATACATTGTTGTATGACCGAATAGTAAGTGGCAGTAATGTCATTCTAACCTCATAAATATGTCCATTTGTTATGTTGGTATTACCAATTGTAGGAAATTAATTGGTATCATTTTGGATAGCCTCCAGTAACATAACTTTCACACCAAATTTTATCAAAGTCCATGCTACTGTTCTTCACTTGAATCATGTAGATATAGGGATGGACAGACAGACATGGTTGGCCCTGTATGTGTTTATTTCATGCACATGTTCAAAGAACATGTAACGACACTAAATTAATACAACCTTTTCAAAGGTGAACTTTAACACAGACACTCAAGCTATTGTTACCGATCTTTAATGAAACATTTGGACGTAACTGAATGGTGTGTATTTAAATTTTACAAGAACTGATGTTTCATGCTTGCTAGTAGACCTACTTCCCTTGTACCGGGTCTACAATTTATGAGACGGATTGTTTACGTAAACTTTGTTTTTCAGCATGCCCCACAGGTAAAAATCGCACGGGTTTAAGTCTGGGGAACGCGGAGGCCACTGATCGATAACTTGTTCACCAAACACTTCTCTTAATGCTAACATCGACCGATCAGCTGGGTGAGCTGTAGCATTGTCTTGCATGAAGAAACCGACAAGTCTTTTCTTCATCGGCCATTTCTTTGAAAAATGGTCTAAGTATTAAATTTATATAACGTTCACAATTTATCCACACACTGCAGAAGCACTTAAAGAAAATATTCGACAACTGATTTCGGCAATTTCCCAAGAAGAGCTTCGTCGAGTATTTTGAAACATGTTAACGAGATGTAAAGCTTGCCTGGAAGCACAAGGAAGTCACTTTGAACATCTTTTGTGATTTAAGGTAAGAATAATTAATATAATAACATGTATTAGTGACGAGAAATATTCGTAGTTCGCTGTTACTAGCGGCACTGAAACTGATCTGCCGGTCACCCACCGGAAGAACGCGCACAACTTCCGCCCACATTCAAGCACGACCACAGCCTCATAAATTGCAGACCCGGTAGTTACTAGCAAAAGTCTTCTTCTTTTCTTCATGGGGTAATTATCGCCGAAAACCGATTCCGTAACATGTATATTTAATTATTGTTTATTTATAAGTAATTTCAACATAACCTAAATTTGTTGTTACTGATAGGGGCAACCATATTTTGTCACACAGGCCACACAACTTTAATTAAGGCCCTGCTCTGAAGTTCGTGTTCTGTGGTTATATTTGTCCAAATTCGCGCCATTAACACAATCTTCGTTTTCACTGTAACTTGTACAAAAAGGCGTTGAATCAGTAGACAAACCTGTGCAAATTCTTGCTGGATTGTTCGTTTGTCTGTTCCTTGAAAGCATCGACATCCAAATTTTTCTTCTCCTTTCTCGAGTAATAATATTTGAATTAACAGATCACTTTTATAGAATTCGTAACTATTGTGGCGACAGAAAACATGCACCATCCAAGTCGTTACAATGAAACTTTCAGAGTAAACAGTTGTCTGTTTATTGCGTAACTCTAGCAACAATGGCATCACAAATTGTCAAAAATATTATTCTTATTCCAGACACACTGTTATTTATGCTGAGAGGGTCACTGCCTGCAGGCAGCGATTATTTAAGCTGACACGACTTTTAGGGTGGCACTAGTGGCCTGTTAGTCATGAATTGCTTATAAAATGTTATAATGTATAGTGCATTTATTCGTCTCAATTTTTCTTTCCCAGACGTATTAGTCTACTACACGCATCATAGCTCTTCTTGAGAAATTGATTGTCATTCAGCAAATCAAGAAATTCCGGGTATTTAAGGAACTCGAAGGTTCACAAATTCCACTAACCTTTCCATATCTCGAGTCACACAAATCTAGTCAATATCTTCCCACATATTTTATGTAACTAGAGCAACGCGCTCCTTTCGGAGCGCTGTCTCTAACTGATATTTCACTTCTTTACGTCGCTGTTCAGAGGCCAACTGTTCTTGGTCAGTAAACTTTCTACGTCCAGCCCCACCCTTGCAAATCTTCGTCTTAAAATCGATCATAATAGTTTTCGTAATCGTAATATATCGAGTACATATGAGTAGTATCACTGCTCCAGAAGCAGCACATCGCATTCTTGAAAATTGACTGACAGTTGGCCTAAAACATCAGAAAAGTGAAAGAAGACGTTATCAAGTATTTGAAGTACCAACTCCAACAAGGTAAACTGATACTCATTCGATATATTACGATTACGAAAACTATTATGAAAACTGACTTTATGATCGATTTTAAGACGAAGATTTGCAGGGGTGGGGCTGGACGTAAAAAGTTGACTGAACAAGAACTTTTGACCTCTGAACAGCGACGTAAAGAACTGCAACATCAGACATTTAAGAAATAAAGACAATCAAATATTTCCGTTTGTCTTGCTCTGCAAATCCCTTAATTAGTAATAGGAAAATGTTACTTGGTTGGTGATGACTTTTTATAGTCCGCGTAGAAACATCGGCTTTTCTTTCAAGTGGTTTATTGTCGGGAAAATGTTTTTACAGAGCAAATAGATTTCATATTACGAACTGCACAACAATGCCGAGTAAACAAATAACGCTTCACTACCAAGCCAGTCGCATTATCACTGCTCCAGAAGCAGCACGTTGCATTATTAAAAATTGACTGACAGTTGGCCTAAAACATCAGAAAAGTGAAAAAAGAAGTTATCAACTATTTGAAGTACCAAATCCAACAACTCCAACAAGGTAAAGTTTGTAAAACGCAACCAACCTTGTGTAAGAAACTAAACTAACCCCCGAGAATTGAGAGTTAAAACAATTGACCAACTCCCCATTCTGGGGGGTTGGTTGCGTTTTGAAATCTTGAGTAACACGCTAAACTAACTCCCCTTCGGGGGATTAATTTAGTGTCTCATTCAAGTGTTTTAACCCTTGAGTAAGAAACTAAACTAACCCCCACCCCCGAATGGGGCGTTAAAACACTTGACCAACCCCCCTTCAGGGGGGTTGTTTGCGTTTTAAAATCTTGAGTAAGACACTAAAATAACGCCCTTCGGGGGGTTAGTTTAGTGTCTTATTCAAGTGTTTTAACCCTTGAATGAGCAGTATGACTTGGATGAATATTATTATTAGTATCAGATTACCTTGTTGGTGTTGGTAACGTCTTTCACTTTTCTTCATTTCTTAAATAGTCTTATGTCGCTGTTTGGAGACGATGTGTTGCTTGTAGAGCAGTGATAATGCGACTGGCTTGGTACTAAGCGTTATTTGTTTACTCGGCATTGTTGTGTTGTACTCGACATTGTTGTGGAACACAACAATGCCGAGTAAACAAATATAAGGTGGCATTGTTGATGACGTCATTTTTTAACGAAAACGACTAATCACAAATTTTTATAGTAGATATCCACGCTAATATTATCCACCCATCTACGTCAACGTCTACCAAGTGAACTCAATCCTCGAGGTTTTCCGGGGCGGATTCATCCGGGTCTATCTGGTTAAAACTAAAATAAAAAATAGTTTAAAACAATGTCTTAAAAGTTAGAACGTTTGAAAGAAAGGAATAAATACAACTTGGATATTATATAAGTGAAGCAAAGTCCATATTTTATGTACTTCGGGGATTACTTAACACACATTCGTCATACGTGCGCACAGTTTGCTTCTGTATGGCGATTGAGAATAATGAAGGATATGATAGAAAGTGGTCGTGGCCAGTTTCAAGTGTAATTTTAGCAGTTTGCTTCAAAGAAGGTTTGCAAAGGGTATTGATCCGTCTCATATAGCCACTCCTGTCCAACTCCCATCCTCAACTTCCTGGGTTGCAACCTGTTTAACAAAAAAATACACTGGGGTCCATGTCACAGTGGGATGTTTTATCTGCAATGGTGCATATGCCATTTAGAAGCCTGTCCAGGAGGCTAAAAGGTGGCAGCCCCACCACGGGACTTAAAAAGTGTCAGGCTAGAAACCTGTCCCGGGATATACAATTTCTTTCAATCCTCAAATGACAAATAAAGGACAGATCAAACAATGACAGACCATAGCATAAACAAGGTAAAACAACTGTGGAAGAAAGAGAACTTCTGTAGATTTGCAACTGGCAGTGTATGAAGTTTAAATTATAAAGAACATGAATTAGACTCCATTTTAAATTAAAGTAATAT